GACAACGACGGAGAGAGCATTCGATCCTGCCGCCGTTTCACGGTGACAGGATTCAACATTTCTAACGCCTAACCCTAACCCTAACCCTAACCCTAACCCTAAACCTAACCAATCGAATCTTGCCGCCTAAACTTAAACTCTGGCCCCTTACCCAATTCTAACCCTAACCTTAACCCTAACCCTAACCAATCGAACCTTGTCGCCTAAACCTAAACTCTGGCCCCTTACCTAATTCTAAACCTTACCAATCGAACTTTGCTGCATGAACCTAAGCTCTGGCTCCTTATTCAATTCTAAACCTAACTAATCGAGCTTTGCTGCCTAAACTTAAAACTCTGACTGCTTACCTAAAAATTAACTCTCAATTCAAACCATTCAAATTAACTAATGGTACATTTTTTATCTAAATCCCAAAACTCTTAATTAATGAAACCACATTTCCTCTCCCCACTTTTTCATTCTGAACTTTTTTTCAAACCCTTTCTGGGCGAGCCCTTCTGGGGATGACGCAAGGAAACGGGCCATAAACAGATACGGCCATTGCGGCAAGGGGAAGGTATTCGTTGGTACTTACCGCTAACCTCCTTGTCTCTGTCCTTCAAGCTTAAATTACCCTGTCTACTTCACACCTCTACACATTTATGACTCAGTCTATGGTACTAAGCTAGGGTAGGCGCCGACACGTTCTCGAATGGCCCGTGCCTCTCCTTGGATCTCTGTATAACCATGAAGTCGTCGGGCGACATGGGGAGATCTGGTGGCCCTTACAAAAACCTAACCCTAACCCTAACCCTACCCCTAACCCTACCCCTAACCCTAACCCCTAACCCTAACCCTAACCCTAACCCCCAGAGGAGAATGTATGGATGTAATGGCTGAAACATTCAATGATATCTGGGTTATCTACTGAAGATGTGTGAATTTTTAATGTGGATGTCAGTATAAACAGTGATATGGCATCTTAAACATAATTTTTATCCGAAACAGTTTACGAGAGGAACTGGAGTGAGATATGATTACACCTGGACGGAATCTACGACGGAGAGTGCACCGATCTGTTTGCCTACGGCAGTCAGATCCAATTTTCCTTACCTAATACGCCGGTTCCTCATGAGGATGTCTAGTGTGTTTGATCTCAGGTCTAGGACTCCGTAGCTGCTGTGTGGAGATCTGTTTAGCTCCTCTTAACACACTCTCCTTCCGTCTAGCCCTAACCCTAACCATCTCGGCTACGTGCCTAACCCTAAGATGGTGGCCTACTGACCTGAACCTAAGATGGTGGTCCACGCGCATAGCCTGATCCGTGTTGGAAAGCTAAAAATTAAGCCCACACACTGGAACACGTCGCACATACTTACCTGCTCACGGGAGTATAGGGAAGCTTCATAAGGCTCATCCCAAAATTAATTCAGAGGCCATCTCCAGGCTCTGTTTGAAAGGGAATATACGGTGACTTTACGAGGCCCCGCCCTACTATATAAGAGTGACGCCATCTCCCAGGCTCACTTTGTTCCGGCTAAATTGTCTTCCTGCACGCTGAGGCCTACTCGCAAAGCTACAATTTTTAAGACGCACACTGCTGGGAAGTGATCCCCCCACGCAGGGCCACCCCCAGAGGAGAATGTATGGATGTAATGGCTGAAACATTCAATGATATCTGGGTTTTCTACTGAAGATGTGTGAATTTTTAATGTGGATGTCAGTATAAACACTACCGTGATATGGCATCTTAAACATAATTTTTATCCGAAACAGTTTACGAGAGGAACTGGAGTGAGATATGATTACACCTGGACGGAATCTACGACGGAGAGTGCAACGATCCGTCTGCCTACGGCAGTCAGATCCAATTTTCCTTACCTAATACGCCGGTTCCTCATGAGGATGTCTAGTGTGTTTGATCTCAGGTCTAGAACTCCGTAGCTGCTGTGTTGTTTGTTTGTTCCATGTGATGTGTGTGTTCCATGTGTTGTGTGTGTGTTCCATGTGATGTGTGTGTTCCATGTGATGTGTGTGTTCCATGTGTTGTGTGTGTTCCATGTGATGTGTGTGTTCCATGTGTTGTGTGTGTTCCATGTGATGTGTGTGTTCCATGTGATGTGTGTGTTCCATGTGATGTGTGTGTTCCATGTGTTGTGTGTGTTCCATGTGATGTGTGTATTCCATGTGATGTGTGTATTCCATGTGTTCCATGTCATGTGTGTGTTCCATGTGATGTGTGTGTTCCATGTGATGTGTGTGTTCCATGTGATGTGTGTGTTCCATGTGATGTGTGTGTTCCATGTGTTGTGTGTGTTCCCTGTGTTGTGTGTGTTCCATGTGTTGTGTGTGTTCCATGTGATGTGTGTGTTCCATGTGTTGTGTGTGTTCCATGTGTTGTGTGTGTTCCATGTGTTGTGTGTGTTCCATGTGATGTGTGTGTGTTCCATGTGTTGTGTGTGTTCCATGTGATGTGTGTGTTCCATGTGATGTGTGTGTTCCATGTGTTGTGTGTGTTCCATGTGTTGTGTGTGTTCCATTTGATGTGTGTGTTCCATGTGATGTGTGTGTTGTGTGTGTGTTCCATGTGATGTGTGTGTTCCATGTGTTGTGTGTGTTCCATGTGATGTGTGTGTTCCATGTGATGTGTGTTCCATGTGTTGTGTGTGTTCCATGTGATGTGTTTGTTCCATGTGATGTGTGTGTTCCATGTGATGTGTGTGTTCCATGTGTTGTTTGTTCCATGTGATGTGTGTATTCCATGTGATGTGTGTGTTCCATGTGATGTGTGTGTTCCATGTGTTGTGCGTGTTCCATGTGATGTGTGTGTTGTGTGTGTTCCATGTGATGTGTGTGTTCCATGTGATGTGAGTGTGTTCCATGTGTTGTGTGTGTTCCATGTGATGTGTGTGTTCCATGTGATGTGTGTGTTCCATGTGTTGTGTGTGTTCCATGTGATGTGTGTGTTCCATGTGATGTGTGTGTTCCATGTTATGTGTGTGTTCCATGTGATGTGTGTGTTCCATGTGTTGTGTGTGTTCCATGTGTTCCATGTGATGTGTGTATTCCATGTGATGTGTGTGTTCCATGTGTTGTGTGTGTTCCATGTGATGTGTGTGTTCCATGTGTTGTGTGTGTTCCATGTGTTGTGTGTGTTCCATGTGATGTGTGTATTCCATGTGATGTGTGTGTTCCATGTGTTCCATGTGATGTGTGTGTTCCATGTGATGTGTGTGTTCCATGTGTTCCATGTGATGTGTGTGTTCCATGTGTTGTGTGTGTTCCATGTGATGTGTGTGTTCCATGTGTTGTGTGTGTTCCATGTGTTGTGTGTGTTCCATGTGTGTTGTGTGTGTTCCATGTGATGTGTGTGTTCCATGTGTTGTGTGTGTTCCATGTGATGTGTGTGTTCCATGTGATGTGTGTGTTCCATGTGTTGTGTGTGTTCCATGTGTTCCATGTGATGTGTGTGTTCCATGTGATGTGTGTGTTCCATGTGATGTGTGTGTTCCATGTGATGTGTGTTCCATGTGTTGTTTGTTCCATGTGATGTGTGTGTTCCATGTGATGTGTGTTCCATGTGTTGTGTGTATTCCATGTGATGTGTGTGTTCCATGTGATGTGAGTGTTCCATGTGATGTGTGTGTTCCATGTGTTGTGTGTGTTCCATGTGTTGTGTGTGTTCCATGTGATGTGTGTGTTCCATGTGTTCCATGTGATGTGTGTGTTCCATGTGATGTGTGTGTTCCATGTGATGTGTGTATTCCATGTGTTGTTTGTTCCATGTGATGTGTGTGTTCCATGTGTTGTGTGTGTTCCATGTGTTCCATGTGATGTGTGTGTTCCATGTGATGTGTGTGTTCCATGTTATGTGTGTGTTCCATGTGATGTGTGTTCCATGTGTTGTTTGTTCCATGTGATGTGTGTGTTACATGTGATGTGTGTTCCATGTATTGTGTGTGTTCCATGTGTTGTGTGTATTCCATGTGATGTGTGTGTTCCATGTGTTGTGTGTGTTCCATGTGATGTGTGTGTTGTGTGTGTTCCATGTGATGTGTGTGTGTTCCATGTGATGTGTGTGTTCCATGTGATGTGTGTTCCATGTGTTGTGTGTGTTCCATGTGTTGTGTGTGTTCCATGTGATCCATGTGATGTGTGTGTTCCGTGTGCTGTGTGTGTTCCATGTGTTGTTTGTTCCATGTGATGTGTGTGTTCCATGTGTTGTGTGTGTGTTCCATTTGATGTGTGTGTTCCATGTGATGTGTGTGTTCCATGTGTTGTGTGTGTTCCATGTGATGTGTGTGTTCCATGTGTTGTGTGTGTTCCATGTGTTCCATGTGATGTGTGTGTTCCATGTGATGTGTGTGTTCCATGTGATGTGTGTGTTCCATATGATGTGTGTGTGTTCCATGTGTTGTGTGTGTTCCATGTGATGTGTGTATTCCATGTGATGTGTGTATTCCATGTGTTCCATGTGATGTGTGTGTTCCATGTGATGTGTGTGTTCCATGTGTTCCATGTGATGTGTGTGTTCCATGTGATGTGTATGTTCCATGTGATGTGTGTGTTCCATGTGATGTGTGTGTTCCATGTGTTGTGTGTGTTCCATGTGTTGTGTGTGTTCCATGTGTTGTGTGTGTTCCATGTGATGTGTGTGTTCCATGTGTTGTGTGTGTTCCATGTGATGTGTGTGTTCCATGTGATGTGTGTGTTCCATGTGTTGTGTGTGTTCCATGTGTTCCATGTGATGTGTGTGTTCCATGTGATGTGTGTGTTCCATGTGATGTGTGTGTTCCATGTGATGTGTGTTCCATGTGTTGTTTGTTCCATGTGATGTGTGTGTTCCATGTGATGTGTGTTCCATGTGTTGTGTGTATTCCATGTGATGTGTGTGTTCCATGTGATGTGTGTGTTCCATGTGTTGTGTGTGTTCCATGTGATGTGTGTGTGTTCCATGTGCCAGTAACGCCAAATCTAATTGGTTACACCCCTCCTCTTTTATGATTGGCCGTTTTCAAATGACCAGAGATATCGGAGCGGGAAAGCCCCGCAGAAAAAGAATGGCCGACGACAAGGAGGTACGTACAAAGGTACGGTACTTTTAGCTATGCATATAGAAAACTATGGTTTAACATAACTATCATTTGATATGCTTGACGGGCATTTCAGATATTGACATTGCATTATTTACAAGCCACGGTATAAGAAGAAAGTGACACAGCTGTCTGCCCACAATAATAAAGGTTAGCTAAAGTGAACTGTCAGCAGATCTGGATAAACAACATGTCTTTGCACTGTGACAATCAATTTGACTATTTCTTGTTTGTGTCTGTTTTAACAGAGTTACAAAATGCTACCAGGCGTGTTGTTGCCTTGGCTGAACCAACTTCTCAACATCGTAAGTGAAACTAGGGGGAGATCACTTGTCTTCACAGATTCATCTAATGGTCAGTCGTTTACAGAAGATGACAGCTGCAGTCTTGGCCGGCCGAAGCACGCCGAGGTGTTTCAGTGACAGTTTGACCGACCTATATTAAAACCAGAGTGAAAAACTGAACTAAAGGTTCATCTTCTTCTTGTTCTTCTTCTATTTATTTCCAGGGCTTGTGACTATCTGGGTAATGTTTAATTAATGAAGCCTTTATATATTCTAACTACTTTACGTATTTAGTACTCAGTTTATTTAGACATCTTTAAATTGTGTTCACAGATGAAGTACAGGTTCAGGGAGAGCAGGTGGAGGTGGGCAACAGACAGCCTACTATACAGGGACAGCAGCAGTCTGCTCTTGGCAACAGGCAGCAGGCTGGGACAAGGCAGCGTCAGGCAGTCCAGGGGCAGCAGCAACAAAGGACCCCTGGCTTTCCTTCTACAGCAGGAAATACAGTGGATCAAAATATGGCCCGGTTTGGATCCGTTAGGAAATAAAGATAGTTCTGAACTGAATTGTCATTGTAATAACTGGGCAATTGACTATAATTCAGGGTATTTTTTAATAGAAATGAACGCTCTTCAGATTGTTTAGAATGAATATATTGTATAACAGCTTCTTAAATGCCTCTCTTACACATTGTTTTCAACTCCTCAGGGCTTTCCCCGGCCTATTCAAATCCGGTAAAAGCTATATCTCCCAAAAGAAGGGCTCTTAGGTCAACCCCAATCCAGTTCTTTCTGCTCAATACGTGCACAGAAAGAACACCATCGGATGAAATGGTCCTTCTCCAGGCTGGACTTGGCAGGAGGACTCTCAATATCCCCGAAAATGCTGACCACTCCCAGGTAAGATAGAAAAAATAATAAGGAAAGCAGTCAAGATAATACAAGAAGCACTTTATTGATCCCAATTTGGGGACATTTTGTATGTATTACTGTAGTTACCCAATCCACTGAAGTACTACTGGTCCCAAATCAGCTTCAACAGAGGTGACATGTGTGGAGGGTTATAGTTCTAACTGCACACTTGTTTTGCTCTTCCCACATAGATATCATATATACTTATGCAATCATATTCCAAAATGGTACCATTGGAAGCGGCCTGGATGCTACGGCTAAGGTTTATTTTTCTCCTATTATGCACATTCTTTATATAGTTTTTTCTTGCAGTGTTAGATATTGTAAACCATGATTAAGGCATGCCCCATTGAAATCTTTTTTCCCTCATCAATACATTGCAGTCGACACAAATGATCGATTTGGAAGAACATGCCAGTGAAGAACTGACAGGGCGAGTGAAAAGGTAATATGCTTCAAATGTACCTGTAATTGCTTATTTTAAACAAACGTCCTGCAGTTATTGTGTTCACTATTTGTGTTGTACCGTTCATCCGTTGCTCTGCATTGTTATTGTTATGCCTTGAATATCATTTAAAAGAGGCCACATCAGTCAGGGGTCGTCAGTTTACTCAATGATACAAAAGGGGTCTCTTAAGGGAAAACGTTTTAGATCCAGTTGTCTAATCAACTTCTAATTGTTTCCTTCAAGTCTTGCTGAAGCCATCGAAACACTTAGTGGACGAGTGGACACAACGACACTCTTTAATGTTAGTGTCACTAGGGAGGAAATCTTTGAAAGGGGTTTAGGGCAGTGGAGACGTCAGAAGAGGTCTTCTCCCAAAAAACCCCTCCGAGTGTCTTTCATTAGGCGCGTTCACACCAAGTACTTTCCTGTACTTAGTTCTGGCACTCAGAGCCCCGGCGCTTTTTACCCCAGGGCACTTAGTACAGATCGCGTTCACACCGGAGTACTTTGCAGTACTTAGTTCCGGCACTCAGAGCCCCGGCGCTTTTGACCCCCGGGCACTTAGTACAGATCACGTTCACACCAAGTACTTTGCAGTACTTAGTTCAGGCACTCAGTGCCCCGGCGCTTTTAACCCCAGGGCACTTAGTACAGATCGCGTTCACACCGGAGTACTTTTCCCTGAGGGAAGATTATGCAAATGAGCCGCTGACGTCACTTCTTCTTCTTCTGCTTTGGCTTTACTGGCAGGCCACAAACCACTTCACGGCGAGTACAGTAGGTGGCGGTATGCACCTTAAAGTTGTTTGCAATCCGCTACAAAAACAAGAGAAGAAGAAGAAAAAGTTCCCGCGTATACTGCGACGCCCACCCACTCGCTGTACATTAGGCGTCTGTTGTTTACCTTCCGACCTCAGACATGATGGAGATGGAGTCGACTGAAGTTGTGCTCTTTGTGCTCATGTTATACAGCTTTGTAACTGAGTTAATGCAGCCTGAGCAACTTGCGTACAATAACAAAACAAGCCGAGCACGAGTGGTGGTGGAAAAGATGAAATATTAACCCAGGAATAAGTGTCTGAATCATGGGTACATTAGTGTTTAAAGTCAGGGGAACTGTTTTAATTCAACAGGAGAGTGTATTTCAAGTGTTACCCGGTGAGCAGCGCTGCAAACATGGCTACATGAGTGTTAAAATCAGGTCAAACTGTTTTAATTCAGTCATAATTGTCGTTTTTAGGCGGTGTACATTGGAGTCATCAAACAGACAGAGATATGGACATAAACGTGTCAGTATAGACAGAACAATGTACATATTAATCATATTTAATTTATTAAATGTACAATAAACTAAAAACAGCAGAATCACTGCTTTAAGCAGCATATCACACTCAAAGGCAGACATACACACACCCAGGGGGGGAAGAGGACACATTGACCCAGGAATAAGTGCTCAAAACGTGGGTAAAACTGTGTTAAAAAGTGGGGGAACATGTTTCAAATGACAGCAGACGGCTGCTTGTTGGCAGGCTGACTCAGTTCACTTGTCTCACACACCCGGCTGATCTCCGCTTACTGGAGGAATAAGAATCTCCAGGACCTTCTGGTCCACACAAACCTCAACAAAAGCACCAAAACTAGGGAGGCGCCTCGAGTTTCTGAGGTTGATTTCATTCGCCTCCCCCACATTTGTAATCCCTTCTCTCGAGAGGGGAGTAATGTTCGGCAGGTCTTGACACCTAACACAAAAAACGCTATTTATGCAATTAGGTGCAAGGCCTGCCACAGACTCTTTGTGGGGGAAACGCGCAATGAGATCAGCCTCAGAATAAAACAACACCGATACAGAATCAGAGACGGGGACGGCACGAGCGTTTTATACAACCATTTCAAACTCCATGACCTCCAGAACGTGCAGTCTATGGGCCTGGAGAGCAGCAGCGGCTGGAGCACGGGTCAGAGGCGAGCGGCGGAGCGGAGGTGGATCCATCGCCTGGGCACCATTGACCCGGGCCGATTAAACGAAAAGTACAACTGATGGGTCCGCCTCCCACCACTCAAACATGTTTTAATAACCTCAACACCCTGTGTGATCTCCTCTCCCCCCAGTTTCTCTCCCCTGCAGATCGGTGATTGTAATCTCCTTCTCTGCGGGTGTGTCAGCCTGTTTGAATCCACCCTCCACGTCTTTTATTTAAAAGCACTTGTTAGAGCCACAATGAAGTACCCTTGCCTTTTCGAAAAAAGGACATAGTTATGCCTGATAACTATGAAATGGTAAAACAACGTACTCTAAATCTCCTAAAGAGGTTTAAGAGGGATGCAGAATATGCCATGGAATACAAAACATTCATGGAGGATGTGTTAAAAAAGGGTTATGCAGAGAGAGTGCCACCAGAACAGCTTAACAGGAATGATGGACAGATATGGTACATACCTCACCACGGTGTTTACCATCAACAAAAGCGCAAACTTAGAGTTGTGTTTGACTGCACTGCATCATGCAAAGGCACATCTCTTAACAAGGAACTTCTCCAAGGTCCAGACCTGGCAAACACTCTCATTGGAGTTCTGCTTAGATTCCGCCAAGAACAAATTGCTTTCATGGGGGACATCGAGGCAATGTTCTATCAAGTGCAAGTCCAGAGAGAGCACAAAGACTTCCTTAGGTTTCTGTGGTGGCCAGATGGAGACACTGAAAAGGCATTGGAGGCATATAGAATGAAGGTCCACCTCTTTGGTGCTGTGTCCTCACCTAGCATTGCTAACTATGCTCTCAGACAAGTGGCAGAAGACAACAGCTTCAAGTACGATGAAGAGGTAACTGAAACAATCAATTCCAACTTTTACGTTGATGATTGCCTCAAATCAGTGGCCACAGTTGAACAAGCTATTAAGCTTATCAGAGACCTCAGAGACGCATGCACCAAAGGAGGTTTCTCATTGACCAAATGGGTCTGTAACAACCGTGAAGTGCTTGCAAGTATACCTGAGCATCACAGAGCAAAGCTATTCAAGGATCTGGACTTTGACAGGGAAAACCTGCCAATAGAAAGAGCACTTGGAATCAAATGGGATACAGAGAAAGACTCCTTCATATTCAAAGTCAATATCAAAAACGGAGCTCTTACCAGGAGAGGGATCCTCTCTACAGTCAGTTCCATCTACGACCCATTAGGATTCCTCTCCCCATTTATCCTTAAAGCCAGGCAGATCCTCCAAGAGCTATGCAGGATAAAGTGTGGATGGGATGAAATCATCCCAGAAGAATACTCAAAACAATGGCAGAAATGGATCACAGAGTTGGAACAGCTCAGCAGATTTCAAGTGCACAGGTGTATGAAACCTGAGCATTTTGGACCAATCAGGACTGCAGAGCTTCATCACTTCTGTGACGCAAGCGAAAAAGGTTACGGCACCACCAGCTATCTTCGCTTTACAAACAGTATGGGAAGGGTCCATGTTTCATTTATTTTGGGGAAATCCAGAGTGACTCCACTCAAACAGATCACTATTCCCAGATTGGAGCTTACTGCAGCAACACTTGCAGTAAAGGTGGACAGGATGTTGAAAAGGGAGCTTAAAGTGGACCTCAACGACTCAACTTTCTGGACAGATAGCACCTCTGTCCTCGGATACATCAGCAACCAGACTAAACGATATCACACATTTGTGGCAAACAGAGTTTCAGTGATCAAGGACCTGTCTCAGGAGAAGCAGTGGAGGCATGTGAGCTCCATGGACAACCCTGCCGACGAAGCATCCCGTGGGCTGCATGTAGAAGACTTTCTAAAGACATCAAGGTGGATAACAGGACCTAAGTATCTGGAAAAGGAAAAGGAATATTGGCCAAAAACACCTAAGAACCTGGGCCTTATTCCATCAGAGGACCCAGAGGTTAGAAAGGACGTAGCAGTTAACAGTTTGAGTGTCCACGAAACCAACCCAACCAGCAAACTGTTTGAGTATTACTCATCATGGAGCAGACTGCAGAGAGGGGTTGCTTGGATACTTAAATTAAGGGGAATCCTTCTTCTGCTAAATCAAAGAAGGAAATCTGCTAAAGCTGACCTTGCCCCAGATTGGACTCTTTTGAAATCCTTAAAGGACAAAATGAACAAGCTAAAGTTGACATTTGGATCACAACATCTGTCTGTGGAGGACATTAGAGAAGCTGAAAAGTCAATAATTGACTTTGAGCAAAGACGTCACTTCTCTCAGGAACTTGCACTTTTGGAGAAAGGAAGGCAAGTAAGAGCAAGCAGCTCTATCAGGAAGCTGGACCCAATCTTAGTTGAAGGCATATTAAGAGTGGGAGGACGAATAAGCAAATCGGCAATGCCAATGGATCTGAAGAACCCCATTATCTTGCCCAAAGACTCGACTATATCCAAACTGATCCTGGGCCACATCCATCAGCAGATTGGACACTCGGGGAGAAGCCACATGCTCTCAAGACTAAATCAAAGATTCTGGTTGCCTCGTGCTAACTCGGCAGCCAGAAAAATAATCAAAGCCTGTGTTTTCTGCCGAAGAATGCTAGCCACAGTTGGAGAGCAGAAAATGGCTGACCTCCCAGAGGATCGGGTGTCTCTAGATCTACCACCCTTTACTCATGTTGGTATTGACTTCTTTGGACCCCTGGAGGTTAAACGAGGCAGAGCAAATGTAAAACGTTGGGGAGTGATCTTCACCTGCCTTGTGAGTCGTGCCATACATCTGGAAGTTTCGAGCTCATTGGACACTGACTCCTGCATCAATGCTTTGCGCAGATTCATATGTCGCAGAGGGCAAGTGACAAGCAT